CAAAACGTGATGGTTGAATGGGAGAGTTGGTGAATAATAGGCGCAGAGAAAAACTACTCCCCCTAAGTGGTTAGAGAATTGTACAGGAAGGGAGAATAATGGTCTCGTCCGGAAGCGTGTATAGAAAAGGCAGGTGGGATTCGAGCAAAGATAACTGGGCGCCTCGACCCACCTGATCACATAAAGCCGGATCCCAAAATGGGATGAAGGCAAAAATACTCGTCCAACAATTCGAGTGTTGCAGATGAGTGAAGATTAGGAGGTATTGCAGACACTTAGAAAATGCAGGTCTTTGTAGGCAATAACAACCCTGAAAATACTATCGTATATATATATATATATATGTGTGTTTTGAAATGACACATTTACACATACGCATTCGTAAGTATGCTAATAACTATAAGAGATATACAGTGCGTCTGTTGAGCAATAGAGACATGGTTAGTGGTTAGTAGATAAAAAGACAAGCAGAATATCCTAGAGGGTTAAACATTCGAGAAATAAAACCACAGCGGTAGTGATAGTAACAGCAACCAACGCAATGGTAGTATCAATGACGTTGGTGACTGTCACTGCAGAAATGGCAAAGTATCATCCAAGTTAGATGGAATTAAAGCAGATCTGGTGTCAAATGCAAGATGCTAACCAGTTTATCCAGGGTGGAAACAAACCTTAACACAAGTTTCTGTGATAAAAAGCGTGCTGTTTCAAAGTTTTTACTACAAACATATACGAGGTGGTAATTATGCTTATAAATATGAACAAAGAAATCTTAGTACATAATCAAGCAAGAGTAAACAAGTCGAAATGCAGACACGAGTTTTAAGCATATGAACAATGAGTATAGATATGAACACTATGATTTCAATTACTCGTCTAGATCCACACTAGTAGGCCGTTTTGGAACAGCCATGCTCCCATATCCGGAAGAAGAGGAAGATGAAATGTTCGAAGGAGAACGTGGCGTCAGAGACCGAGGCGATGTCGGTGAACCTGAAGCACCCTCGATACCATAACGATCAATGCCAATGGCATATACACAATTAGTCTCGGTGTCGACGACAGGGGAAGCTTCTTCGCCGCAAGTAGATTCGATTCTGGTGGGAGAGAGAGCCTTGCCTGATGCTCGTGATATCCAGGCTTGGCCGACATTATGATGGTCTGACTGAGAAAGATGAGTGTGGTGATTCGAAGAATGGTGAAGATGGGGATGGAAATAAGTAGATCCGGACGGACTAGGATAATATGGA